GTTCCAACATGTGATGACACAGATGAACCACCATCAGAACATTTAATTCATTCATTTTTAAGAAAAATTCATCAACAACAAACAACAACAACACCACCAGATTCTGATTCTGATACACCATCATTATCAAATGATATTCCAATTGGTTTAAGTGAATGTACACTTTGTCATAAACGTTGTTCAAAAAATAATCAAATTGGAGCTTATTGTTCTAATTGTCATTTTTATATGCAACGATTTCAACCAATGACTTCCTAAAAAAAAAAAAACAAAAAACGAAAATCTTTTTTTGTTTTTTTTTTCTCTATTTGTTGAATCTCGTATATATACATATATTCTGGTGCTGATATTTTTCTTATTTATTCTTTTTTTTTCTGATTTGTTGTTAATATAACATGAATTATAAAAAAAAATATTTATATTCTAAGACATTTTTTTTTAGAAAAAAAACAAAGACTGATTTTTCTAATCAATACGCTTGAACTGATCTTCACGAGATTTATTAATGAAACTGTCTGAACTCAATGATCTTATTTCAGCATATATTATCTTTCTTTTTTTTTAAATACTGGCTTTGTGAAAAACGATGTATAAAGTCATTACATGGAATTCGAAATAAATATCGAGAAAGATGCTTTCAATATAAGACAGCATTATTCTACTGAATTAATTAATCTTTTTTACCTGCTGACTCTCTGAATACTACATTCTGAGAGTGCTCATCTCATAATCACTCTGTGTTTCTGACTTTGTCAATGAAAAGAAAAAAATTAACTGTCACAAATGCATTTTCTAATATTCTAGAAAATTAATATGGGCACTCAGAAATGCAAATATGCTTGAAAGATCAGTGCTGCTAGCCACCAAATTTTATGAATTGTCAAGAACAAGTCTGAGCAATATTATTTATTCAAGACAGTTCAGAAGAAAGAAATGTATTATATCTTTATTTGCAATAAGTTTTACCTGATAAAGCAAGTCTCACGTAAAATGTCTTCCATCATTCGAAACGATTTTCTTGTGAGATTTTCGATCAAGTTATGAATTGATTACATTTTTCGAAAAAAACCTCCTTTATTGAACGATTAAATATATATTTGTGTTGATCATCTTAGTGAATTTGGTATCGTCTTTTTTTAAATAAATGAATTTATATTTGTGCATAAACGAAAAAAACTATTAACGTTCTAATTTTTCATCGAATCTTTTGGTAAAAATTCTAAAACTTATATTTCATATTTCATCGACAGTTAAATTAGAACATACATTATATTTAAACCTTATTATTGTTATTCATCATTTTTGAAAGCATACAAATATAGTCAAGAACGAAGAAGAAATTCATTTAGACTAAAATTATTTTCAATACTTTTCTTTAAAATTAATATCATAAGTGAATTATATTATCTTTTATTTAATAGAAATAAATAAATAAATAGAAAAGAAAATAAATATATAGTTTTTATTAAGAAATCTCTATTTCATATCATTAAATAATTTCATTAATGCGACGATCTTTCCACCCTAAAGATTAATTAAATAAATTATTTATATCTAAATCTAAACTTTTACATACGAAAAATTTGATTAAACGTGAAGCAATGCCGCTAACTGCACTTCGATTATCATTATCAATATCATCATTCTAAACACAAAAAGAATTCTAAATATGAACATCTATTATATTTCATAAATTACAGTTTGTGTTGCTTCATCTATTTGTTTGTATGCATTATTTAGAATAACACATGCAAGTACAGTTTGAGTTTGAATTGCTAAATAAATTAATTTTATTATTTAAATCAATAAAAGAAAAATATTTTTACATTGTGTTTGTGTACGTTTTACACTTATTCGTTGACTAGGACCGAGTCGTTTAACATCATTAGGACCCAAAGATCTTGGATGAATACTATATAGAGAATAAATTAGGAATGAATGATGCGGTTTTTAAGAAGCATGATTTTTACCGAGCTGGTGTTTGAACACGTGTAACATATTTATCCTTTGTAATAGCAGGCATTGTGTAGAACGATAGAGAATAAAATGAGACTATATACCAGTAAAGAATACACGAGAATAAAGAAAAAGAAAATAGTCCATAGTCTACACACCACTTATAAATAAGACGAAAAGTATATTCAAATAGACAGAGACATCTAATAGACTTTACATAGTAGATTTTTTTTAGACGTACTAAAACTTCATGGTATAAGATAATTTTCAATTAAATTCTTTCTGCATAGTAGAAAATTCAGGGTCTATTCTTATCTCCAGGCATAAAAAAAAATTTCAGGAGGAGCGAAAGGCTTTCTTCTATTGTGTCTCATTTATTTCCATAATTTTTAGTTAGACAAGGATCCATACATTAGTAATATTTTGATGTAAATATACTAATTTAAGTTTCAATTATCCAAGAAAGTAATCAGTTAAAAAAGAGGAGTCTTCTACTATACCCCGATCCATGATTTTTCCTATGGAACGAAGATTATCATGGTTTTATGAAACTGACCACTCACAATACAATTTTGTGCTTCTCTGTATGGAAAACTGAAACTTTGATTACCTGACTATTAGAAGTTATATATGTCAATCAAATTCTAAAGCAAATCTTGATGATTTAAAGGTAGATAAGGTCATTGTTGAGTTTCACTACCGATAAGATATCGTATGTCTTTCTGTAACGTCTCAAATTAGTTCTTGTATAGTTTTGTAGTACCGCATGTGTAGTTTAAAAATATACAGACCTAACTTTTCTTTGAATAGACCTCACTTAAAGCATGATTTTAGTAAAAATCATTTTATCAGTCATAGTCCTGTAAACCGTAGACACTACCTAGACATTTTTGTAGCTGAAACTAAAACTTCCTAACATGATTAGTTCTTGCGATAAGGATATATTTAAAAAAAACACCGAAAAATGACAACTTTGTCATGTACTAGGTAGTAGAAGTCAACTCATCGACGATTTATCCGTTTGAGCTCGTTTTTTCATGAGGAATATCCCAACTTAACATGATTTTATAGTAAAAATTTCAAGCGAAACTAATGCATACTTGACCAGATGTATATCTCAGGAAAAAAGAGCAAAAAAATGCCATTCTTTTAATGATGATGCTCTGAGAAAAATTTAAATACCTTGAGAACAAAATAGTATTTTGTCAAACCGTTTCCGTTGAAATTCATCAAATACTTGACCCTACAACATATTTAAAAACTACCCAAATTGACGATCGTCAATTGATTAACTTTCGTTAGAGTCGGTCGTAGCTTATGTAGTATAATATATTTATACAATTATCTATGATACATACAAAATTTACACCTGATTCCATGGGTTAGAATGCTAAAGAATATGATGTTTACATAGATATTTAAACTATTTCATCACCTTTTCTATTCTTCTTGTATGTCTTTTTGTTGGTAACATCTGTTATTTGTCCTGGTGTAGGTTGGTAATGATCATTTCAGATCGAAAATTTACATATATATATATATATATTAAAACGAAAAATAAATCTTATTTCTATATTTGACAATTCACACTAATCTTGCTCTTAGAGAACACTTTAGTTAGTTCACAATTTGGATTTCATTCTAGATAAGTAGTATATGTACACTGAATTCATCTAGTTTTCTAGCTGATGTTATGCTCATGGCAGTGAGCATAATTCATCAAGTACTCGTGAAATAATCTTGAAATAGGCTCATAATTTATTGATACATAGCTAGGTTCTTGACAAGGAAGTGATAAAACGGGTTTTCAGCGGTTTTGAAGATCGTGGTTAGGAAAAATTGAAGTGAAAAATTGACGTTTCTTGACATTGAAAATACAGCTTGAATTCTTTTGGAGTGGTTCAGCACTTAGTGAAATCTCTAGTTTCTAATTCATATGGTGCAAAATCGTCCGATTTCGTAACACTTTCTTAAATTCGCATAAAACTATGACAAGAGGTTATTTTTGGTGAATACGAATTGAGAGTGTTTACTTGTTTTTTATTATAAAAAGATCTCTATTTTAGTCTTGAGAAAAGAGTGGAGACATTTTTTTAAAATGATCATACCACTTCATATTTTTGTCGTCACTCAAACGTAACGTTTACTTGTTTTCGTTTCAGAAGAGAGCAGGAGAAGACAATGCTTTTTCGTCGCTAAGAGATCGTAAAACTTTTCCATGAACTCAGTCCACCTTAGAAGTTTTGCTTTTCCTATTGTTTTCTTCGAATTAACTATTTTCAATAATAGAACATCTTTGTTGACAAAGTTATCTGAGACAAAGTCGACAGATACATTACTTTTTCGTTAAAGCAATATACGAAATCAAAACAAAAGATTGAACAAATTAACGTTCATCTAATTATTTAGATTAGTTAACAAACTGATATCTTTCTCTATTAAATGATATCAATTATTTTCATAATATTGTATTATTAATTGTATAGATGTCAGATTTAAAACACTGTTTTTCATATTTCGTAGGTATTTAATCGATCATGATGAGTAATTAATGAAAAACGTTTCTTTTCAACGCTAAATCGATGTATGAAAAAAAATTTGATAAACAATTGCAGACATAATCAAAGCGTGCATCAATTTGACTTTAAAATCGCACAAGAAGTTCGTTTCCTATTATTTCAATCATATTAAAATTTAAATAAACATAAAGCAAAATTTTTCTACATAGACATTGATAGATTCCGTAACATTATTTATTATGATATAGAATTGATTTATTTAAGTTTTAATTTATTTCTTGATTTTATTTTCTTTTAATTAAAGTATAAACAAAGAATTAAACGATACGAAAAAAAAAATCATATATGGTATATAAAAAGGAACAGAAATATTACTATTGTTCATTCTGATACTTAATACATCTAGATTATAACTTGAGTGTTATACACTAATATATCTGGTTTAACTATCTGATAGAAAGAAACAAAAGAAAAAATGAAGTAATCTGGTTTACATTTTAATTCGAAATGCGGCTCAATTCATACTTATTGGTTTGTTGTTAAGTGTTGCTCTAAAGTTTGCGGTTGAGCCCTTCTTTCTATTTCTTGTTTGATTATGTATTGTTGAACATTTGTTGGTAATCCAGGATTGAGACTCAATGCATATGGCAATAATGTTTTCGGCATGCCGCCAAAATCAATCATGACTTTAATAAACATTGTATCATCTCGAACATATGGATTACCTTCTTGTTGAATCATTGACAATGGAAAGAATTTAGGTATACCACTAGCAATATTCATTTCTGATCGTGGTCTCTGGAAACTACTTGATCGAATATCTGGCCGAAAAGAATCGATAATATGTCTTTGGTTAGGAGTTTGATCATACAAACAAAATGTAACTTTATAATTGAAGGGAAATTTTAATATTGCATCATTTCGCCCACGCATCAAGACAAAAAACAATGACATAT